GACAGGCTGATCGGGAGAGAGAAACTCTTCTGTCCCGATCAGCTTGTCCTCGAGCTGTCAGGGAAGTGACAGAAAGCACAGCTACTGCAGCTGTGCTCTCCTGTCACTGATTGCTGCCGATCGCCGGGAGATAGCCGGTAAGGACTGGCTGTGACTCGGCGACTGACATCCGCGGCTGTGATCGGCGAGACAGGTAGGGTGGCGGGGTGCCTCGCGTGCCCCCCTACCTGTTTACAAAACACATGTTTTAAAACATGGTTTTGCCTGCCCGTGCCGCCCTGCCGCCGTATTTATACAGTGGCTGGGTGGCATGTGGTTAATTCTTCCACTTTTCATGAGCTTGAGTCTTCAATATAACTTTTGCCTAAACATCCCTCTGTCACAAGGACTGGCCAGGAGAAAACCAAGTTTCCAGCCAAACAGCTAAATACACTAATGGAAAAACATATGTGCATGCCAAAATACATTATTCTGTCCAGTCAATCGTTTGGGGATATACAATATATGGTTCTCTAACGTGGATCTTATCCTTCAATGTGGTATTGAAAATACATGGGTTTAATTGATGTCTGTATCTTTGATGGAGAAACCTCCCCAAATAAGACACAGACAACAGTTGTTACCTTTTTCACTTACCCAATAAAACCTCAAAACTTTACTGATTTTTAAAATACAACTCCAGCCAAAACCTTTTTAACAAATTATCTCCTTTAGATTGTAAGCTCCACGAGCAGGGCCCTCCCATTCCTTCTGTACTGAAATGTATTGTAATTGTACTGTCTCCCTTATATTGTAAAGCGCTGTGCAAACTGTTGGCGCTATATAAAATCCTGTATAATAATAATAATAATAATGGGCAGCACAGTGGCTAAATGGTTAGCACGTCAGCCTAGCAGTACTCGGGTTGTTGGTTCAAATCCCAACCACGGCACCACCTGCCTGGAGTTTGCACGTTCTCCCTGTGCCTGTGTGTGTTTCTTCCGGGTACTCTGCTTTCCTCTCACACGTCAAAGACATGCTGGTAGGTTAATTGGCTCCTGTCTAAATTGGCCCTAGTATGTGTATGTATGAATGTGATTTAGGGACATTAGATTGTACGCCCCTTGAGGGTTAGGGACTGATGTGAATGTACAATATATATGTAAAGCTCTGTGTAAATTGATGGCACTGTATAAGTACCTGAAATAAATAAATAATAATAATTATCAGCAATGAGGACGCAGATAAAAAACATTTCTATAGAATGGGTAATGGTAGGATGGGCAAGTGCTGGAACCTGTGTTGGGTTTCTACGGTTGTCTGCATCACTGTTAGGAAGTTTCCAGTCACTTCTAGTGAGGACATGAAAGGGAGATGAAATCCCTCCAACAGAGAAACAGCAATAAAATAACTTTCAGGGGATGTAACCCTTCCCTGCTCTGCCTAAATTTAAAAAAAAAATGCCTGGAGCTTATTTATTAAATTTATAGCTTGACCCGAGACTTTTAATATTTGTGTTCAGTTTGACTTTATTCCATAGATAGAAAAACAGATCTTCCCTTCACTCTACAAAATGGCTGAAATAGGCAACTATAATCTCCTGTCCACGGCTGCTTAAACCATCCAGAGTTATCAGTTGTTCACACTAGCGAGATCAGTAGCTGCAAATACAGAGTTTATCTGCCTATCCAACGTAATGACAAAGTCTCTACAGGTTTTAATATTAGTAAAAAGTGATGGTGTTTTCATAGCTGTAGTGAAGTATTAAGAAAAATACTACTGCTTTAAAAATTCATAACTTACAACATTTACCAAAGTAAGATCTAAAGGAATTAAATGATGATCATTTTACACCAAATGTGTTACAGTCCAGAGGGAAAAGTTACATATTTTCTTCCACCTATTACCTTACTAAGCTGTAAGTTTAAATACTTGAGAAGGTGTTAAGTGTGAGGTCATTGGGATGTGAGCAACCACAATCACAGATAGAGGAGTGAATAATGTCATTTTGTAATGTTACTCCGGTGGTGAAAATCACTGGAATACCATAGCTAGGAATGTCTAGCATCAAATGATTCAGCCATTAATAGATTGGTAGCAATCCTAGTTGTTGCAATTTAGGTCTTTTTAGTTACTAGAGTATATAGTTAATTGAACTGAAGAAATGAAAAATGTCTTAATTTGTGAATTCTTCAATAAGAAATTCTGGTTACTTCTTAAGCCTAATTCCAGCCAAAATGTTGTCACTGGCACAATTTAGGACAGGTTTTTATTTCTGCTTCTTGTATTCCCTGTGATGAAACATGAAACAGGGGCTGCTGGTTGTCATCAGGGCACGGAAATCTATTATTATCAGAAAATCTAACTGTACTAAAATAATGTGTTTTTTGCTACTGTTACGGAGGTTTTCTAGCACGTCCTGCCCTTATATGAAATTAGGGGACACACATGGGTTTTAAGTGAAAAATGGACATTAGCTCAACTGTCTCCTTTTGCTGATGCCAACATCTCAAATACTTACCTGTGTCCTGAAGTGGAGTTCTTAGCAATAGAACCAGCTTCTTCTTCACTGCCATGGCCAAGGGCAAGTTTTTTAAGAGGCAGTCACTGATCAGCTGTTTTTTGTCTGAGCTGCCAATTATTGACTCAAACAGAACCCTGGGAGTTTGACTACCTCCAGCAAAGAGACCAAGACTTGGCCACAAGCCATGGGTGCAAATGGATACTACCTACAAAGTAAAGCCTTACAGCTGTACTCCAGGCAATTAATGCAGCTCGGTATTAATAATAAATCATTATTATTTTCTTTTTCAATGTAGTTAGCATAAGTATTTGAATTTCACTGTGGTTGTAAAGGCTCAAGCTTTTTTACCTTCATGCATTCTATACATGAAGGTAAAAAAACCTTCTGTGTGCAGCAGTGCTCCCAACCCCCTCAATACTTACCTGAGCGCCATAGCAATCCAGCACTGTGCATGACAGCAGCGGCTGTCCTGGGTCTCTGCCTCCTCATTGGCTGAGACAACAAATGGGAGCCATTGGCTCCCCCTGCTGTCAATCACAGCCAGTCAGCCAATGAGGAGAGAGGGGGGAGGGCCAACCCGGGCTCCGTGTGTGAATCGACACACAGAACAGCTGGTGCCCCCATAGTAAATTGCTTGCTGTGGGGGCACCTGACAGGAGGGAGAGGCCAGGAGAGCCTGCGGGGACCCAAGAAGAGGAGGATCCAGGCTGCTCTGTGCAAAATCAGTGCACACAGTAGGTATAGGTAAGTATAAATGTATAGAATGTGCAGTGCTGCACTTTCTATACATTTATCTACAAGGAGCTGTTACCTATACCTTTGTGCTAGCCGCTTATATAGTTCCAGCGCTTGCCTACATTTAATATTTATAGTAGGTAAGTATAGACATGTCTGTTATTTTCCAAAAACAAAAAATTAACCTTTAGAAAACACATTAATATCATCATTTTACAATCCCCTGTACAACAGTACTCAAGCTGTAAGAGGGAGGTGCAAAATTAGGAATATGCTGACTGGAGGAAAGAGAAGAGTGACCAGAGTGACAGACTCCTCAGTCTTCTGTTGCTCCCTCATGGTGCAGTCAGCAAGCTGGGGTTGGAGACATGACAATACCATTATCAACAGCACAGACAGTAGAACAGATATTAACTAGAAAAGCTACAATTTCTGGGGAAATTGTGTGACGTGTTCTTGCCTCCACCAGTAGTCTACAACTGGAGTGGGCGGAGTAACTGGGTGGAGTGGCTTGAGTAACTGTTGTCTGGTTGGAGTGGCTGGAGTAACTGTGAAAAGGTTGGAGTGGGCAGAGTAACTTTATGGAGTGGGCAAAGTAACTGTGTGGAGTGTTTGGAGTGAGTAAAGATAGTAAACATTACACTAACCAATTGATTGATCAAATTTAAAAAGTGCACATGGCAAGCTTGATAGAGTGAGAAATGCATTTCAACTTTTAATTATTTATATAGCACATTTAATTGCAATGTTGTTGCCCAAAGTGCTTCACAGTTACATGAAAACATACATTTATAAAAACATTAGCAGCATTATCACCTCAAATACTCTCTACTGTAGAAAACTTATTTCCAAACTTTTAACCAGAAGCCGGCCAAACTGTCACGAATTCAAAATTAGATTTCAAATAGGGCAGAGAAGAGCGGTTAAAAACAAACTGCTCCAAATTGCTCACTTCACTGGCGTCATCAAATGGTCATAGTTTTAAAAACTATAAATCCTACAGCAAAGAGCTTTATATTGTGAAAATCACAAGACCCAGACCTACATTTTGATGCATAGTATGTCTCTGAAATATTAAAAATGAAGGCACAGTCGTAGTTTAGAAATTGCCCTTCAAATTTCAGGTGGCTAGAATGGAGTTTCAATGAATGTCAATGGGTGGCATGAGTTGCAAACAAATGGTCATATTGTGAAAACTATCAGGACTATGGCTTTTTAGTGGCAGCAGGGATAGCTGAACGTTTTGATATAAGATTTGTGTAGGTGGGCTTGAAAATGAGGGGGGTGATGGCAGTTTAGATATCATGTCCTGATTTTTCAGCTCACACTCTAGCTTTTGTCAGCTCACACTCTAGTTTTGAACATTCCACCATTCATTCCTATGGGACCACGTTTCGGTATATTACTGTCTATGTAGTGTAAAAACTGTGGGAGGAGTTAGGGTGGTAAATTTGGCTATAATAATAAGAATATATATGTGAGATAACAGTAAGTGGTCTTGCCATGCAAGAACACTTAACTAATGATAGTTGCTTTCAGAAAGCAACGCAGGCAACTATCCTTTAACCACCTCCCGCCCGCCATATAGTAATATGACGGGAGCAAGGTGGTTCTCTCGTTCTGGGAGGACATCATATGACGTCCTCCCATTCTCACTGCGCATGCGCGGCTCCAGGAGCGCGCAGCGTGGCGATCGGCGGTGCGCTGTGTCCCTCGGACACAGGGGATCACGGAAAGAGCCGAAGATGTCGGCTCGGTCATCTGATCAGCTGTGTCCAATCACAGCTGATCACATGTAAACAGGGAAATGCCAGTTATCGGCATTTCTCTCCTCACGAGCTGTCACGTTGACAGCTCGAGAGGAGAGGAGAGCCGGTAATCGGGGGACATGTACACTGACCATCAGGTGACTGATGATCAGTGGGCCCTGATGATCAGTGTAGCCCCAGCAGTGCCACCTGTCAGTGTCCATCAGTGCCTTATGTCAGTGCTCATCAGTGCCTCGTGCCAGTGCCTATCAGTGCCACATATCAGTGCCTACCAGTGCACAATGCCACATAGCAGTGCCCATCTGAGCTGCCTTTCAGTGCCACCTATCAATGCCAATCAGTGCCACCTATCAGTGCTTCCAATCAGTGCCACCTATCAGTGGCAGTCAGTGCTGCCTACCAGTGCCGCCTAACAGTGCCAGTCCATGCCGCCTAACAGTGCCAGTCCGTGCTGCCTAACAGTGCCAGTCCGTGCCGCCTAACAGTGCTGCTGATCAGTGCCATGTATCAGTGATGCCTTTCAGTGCCCATCAGTGATGCCTGTCAATGCCCATCAGTGCCACCTACCAGTGCCTCCTCATCAGTGCCCATCAGTGTCACCTATCAGTGTCCATCAGTGCAGCCTCATTAGCGCACATCAGTGAAGGAGAAAAATCACTTATTTACAAAATTTTACAACAAAAACTAAGAAAATACATTTTTTTTTTCAACATTTTCAGTGGTTTTTGGTTTAAGAAAAAATAATAAACCCAGAGGTGATTAAATACCACCAAAATAAAGCTCTGTCACAAAAAAATGATAAAAATGTCATATGGGTACAGTGTTGGTTGACTGCGCAATTGTCATTCAAAGTGCAACAGCACTGAAAGCTGGAAATTGGCCTGGGCAGGAAGGGGGTATAAGTGCCCTGTAGGCTAGCGGTTAATAGTTAGTGTCCATAGCCCTGGAAGCAGCACATAGGGTTTGTGTGGTAAAGGAAAACAGGCTGTTCACATTACAAAGACATTTTCCTTTAGGTGAAGCTCCATCCAAATATGTACAAGCAAAAATAAATAGTTTTTTTTTATTCCCTTACACATGATTTGATATTTGTTGCAATTATGTTCCCCACATTCACTAAGGTAAGGGAACATTCTCTTGCGAAGGGAACAGCCTATTTGCCATTATTAAATCAACCCCCATGAGTCAAGTTGGGAAGCCTATCCCATGCCCCCCCTAGAGGGTTTCACTTAGACAAAATTTTTACTTTCCCCCCCCCCGTGGCGAAAGTCATCTTTTTCAAATGCACAAAAGGATATTCTTTAAAAAAGACAAGGCTTGGATTGCTGTTTTTGTTGAAACTTGGGTGTGCAGGTGTGGGGAAATTCATAATATAGACATTAAACAATACCTCTATGTACAGCCAAAAAGCCATTGTATGATCATGATATAATTATGTAGGTAATAACTATGGAAACAGAATTATTGGCTTGCTGAGATCTCTTGAGATACAAATGAGAGTCCGCAGCAAACCCAACAACCAGAGTAATTACGGTAGTTGGTAAATCAGTTATTGGTGATCTATGGGAAAATAAAGAAAGTCATTTATTTGAACACTTTTCTCTCTTATTCTTTTTTTCTACAAGTGCTGCACTTCATATCCTTTCTATTCACACAGTACCATCTAGTGGCACAGGAGTAAAGAGTCACATCTGCAGGAAAGCAAGGGATTCCACTTTTTAATCTATTTTGTATGACTCAGATCTGCATGCTGGGATGTGCAGAGAAGGGAGATAGCCATTGAGAAATGCTGCTTCATGTTCAGGCTTTTTTACATCTCAGGGATGGCTGCCATCAACAAAAAGTGTTTTCCAGAAGGGGGACTGTTTTTCTAAACCCACTGACATTTTCTGGGGGGGGGGGGGGCAGTTGCTACAGTTCTTATTTAAAAATGTGAACTCTAAACAGTTTTGTCATGCCCAAAAGCCACCAGCAATAAAAGGCAACTCAAAATACACGTAACATATACATCTTTATCCCCCCTTTAGATACCTTATTATTTTATGCCATTACTACAATTTAGTAATGAAACAATCAGTCCTTGAGAACCACCTTCTAATAATCCTTTACATCATTTACCTCCAACTTAAACCTTTGGGTGGCCAGCATCCATCAACTGCCACATGACAACCAATATGGTCCTTCATTAGGAAACCACAGCACTAAACTGTCATTTCAATGCACATAGTTTTCATTTTTAGGCAATAGTAAAAAGGAAACCTAAATAATAACAAAAGATAACAAAAGACAAATGATCTAAAAGTGAAAGCCTTAGCATTTGCAGTACAGGAGAAATCTACCAACATATGATTAATTATGAGCAATAAATCGGTTTCATTTGCAGCAATCCACGTTATTTTTTTTTTTTTTACGAGTCTGAAAGACAAAACAAATTGTTTTAAAATATCCAGGAGAGGTCTGAGTCAGATTCTACTACTTTTTAGTCTGTGAAGCTTCTCACAGCCACGGGAAATCAGTGGTAATTAATACCTGTCTTTTTTCTTACAGGATTATTGCAGGCAATATACTTAGATAATCATTAACAACCAATATAGGATGTCATCCACCCATGACTAATTCTCACATTGATGACTATCTAAGCATGTCTGTGCTTCTACATGCTTGCTGTGAAATCTCTTTGATAATTTAAAGATATAAATTGGGCAAGTGTAAGGAAGTGCAGTAGACCAAAGGCAAAACTTTATTTTTCAATTTGTATAGAAAAAAAAAAGAGAGGGTATAAACCCCCTGTCTGTTTTTTGTCTCACTGGAGACGTTTCCTTTGACTTCCTGCCCCATAAACGAAAAAAGGAAGTTAGAGGAAATCCCCCCGAAATGGGGGAATCCCTTATTGTCACCATTGGAAGATGCCCACTTTGTTCCTGTTCTAGTAACAAGTCAGACTTTGTATTCAGTGAAGAGGGTTTACCATTAATCAGCCAGAGTGAAAGTGAAAGAAAATCCCAAACAAAAAAAATGGACCCTTGCTTTAACAATGCAAGGCAAAGTGGGAAAAGCAAAAGGTTTAGTGTATAGGTCAACTCCAAGCTTGGGACTCAATCTGTGCCCAATTTCCTCAACTGGAGTGTCCCTGAAACAGTAAAAAGATTTGTGGGTATCTTCAGTCCCTTAGCATCACATATTGAAGTGGTGCTGCTCTACAGCAGTCTCCTGTAAATCCAGGGCAGTAGGGTAGACCCTTGATGCCCTGGGCACACACAAAAATGGTTGAATGACTGGAGCTGGACCGGAGAACAGTGAATTATCCAAAATTTCTCACTTTAATGGAGCATGTAGCTCACTCCATTTCCAACCATTATATGCAGCTGGAAGAGAATCCACAACCCTGTGTAGGTAGGGGGGACAGAGAAGTGAAGGTAAATTTAAGGTGCTACAGGGGCCCCTTTAAATGACCCTAATGCTTTGCTCTGAATAGGAAAAGCACAAGTTCTCTTTAAAAATTGTCAAAAACTGTACAGTTACCCGTAATGCCTATATTTCCTCCATCATCAGGCTAATTGCAGTTAAAAATGACCACGTCTACTCCATAATTTGAAAGCCCAATGCAGTGCTTGATCCAAAACTGAGCAATTTACACCTATTCTAGGGAATGACTTTTGAGAAAGTCAAAAGCACTTATTATCACTCCAATTTTCAATGGGGCTGATTCTTCTTACTTCACATTGAGAAAAGGGAAGGATGCAGTAGACAGTACATTTGTATATGTGATGCTTTTATTCTTTCTGTTGTTCAGCAAGTCACGCAATATGTCACAGTACATGTTTCCTTGTCCAAAGAATGAGATCATCTACTGTCGGACACAGGCTCTGCCCCTGACTGGGCTTAATTATAAAGGAATCCTCTATGAGTAAGCCCAATTATGGGCAAAATGCGTCAGTGATATACCCTGTTTCCAGCGGAAGATTTTCTCATACTTTGAATAAGTTGCAAACTGATTAGATTTAGTATTGGTGCAGCTCTAAGTTCCTCTACTCTTGGACCAATAGTAAGGACTGGGTTTTGAGAGAGGACAAGTCTGGTCTCTGACTTTAACAAAGGAAGAAGGTCTTAGCATAAATGATCTTTCTGGGCTACTGGAAAGCCTTGAAGACAGTGAAAATTACATACAGAAACCTGCCAGTTATTGCCAGTGTCATTTTCCTAAGGAATTACCTTTAGATCAGAGTCTCCTTTGCCCTGGCTAACCAGAATTCTCATCTCCAAACAATCTGAAAAGCCTGAAGTGAGGTGCTACAGTCTTAGGATCTGATTGTACTTGAGATGTGAGAATATAACATGGCATCAAATAACACAGATCTTACTGGAAGACATCAGCCACTATGACCACTTGAAAATGTTTATTTCTTCTGGAGCTTCTCTTTAAAAATATTTTCTTTTATTTTAACATGACAAATACTTTTCATTATAATTCTTACTTGCAAAGTATGCCAAATTTTCTAGAATCAGAATACCTAATGCCCTAAAGTGATGATATCCCAATCACGGCACCACCTGCCTGGAGTTTGCATGTTCTCTCTGTGCCTGGGTGGGTTTCCTCCGGGTACTCCGGTTTCCTCCCACACTCCAATGACATGCTGGTAGATTAATTGGATCCTTTCTAAATTGAACCTAAAATGTGAGTTATGGACCTTAGATTGTACGCTCCTTGAGGGTTAGGGACTGATGTGAATGTACAATATATATGTAAAGAGCTGCTTATATTGATGGCACTATATAAGTACCTGTAATAAATAATAAATAAATATACTTATACTAAAATATCCATACATATCCATTACCTAATGGTCCTGTAATCTACTTTTATAAAAAATAAAAAAAAATTCTTACTGTATCTTTTTTCTTCCTTGTAATGTTCTCCATGAGTGCATGTTACTGTAGTTGGGGACAGGTACATTACTCTATGCACACTACAAATCCCATACACAGTCCATCTTGAGAGCGAGCAAGAGAGCATGTTCTCACATACAATGGGACTATGGAGAACGCACGTAGCCACCCTCTAACAGGAAATCAGATCACAGCAGCACAAATAAATAAATAAATAAAAGGTTGTAGATTTGGAGGAGGCAATAGAAGGTACTTCTTCAAGTTAAGAATACATGCTCAAATAGATTTTTTTTTAAGTGATAGAGTTTAGTGTCACTTTAAGCAGTTTCACATGAAAGAAGTATTGTGATCTTAATAAAGACATAAAGGAAAATCATTTGAAATGATTACAAGCAATGTATGGTGAGGTGGAGGAGGGGGCTACACCAATTTTTTATCACTGCAAGCATGAACACCAGACTTCAGGTATGTCATATTCTTCAAAAACATGGCAAGTCCAATAGTAGCCTATAATGGAAAAATACATATGTAAGTATTGAAGACATTGGAGTGCAAACAATATTGAAAATCATCAATTTTGGCATGAAAGGGAAGTATAATCTGAAATAGTATTGCAAACCCAAAAAATAAAACATTTTA